AAAAAAAAAAAAAAAAAAAAAAAAAAAAAAAAAAAAAGGCTGAAGGGAGTAACTACATATATTTCACATTTTGTAAAGTAAGAATACTTTGCTTGTATAAAAAATTAACACATGCACATGTACGCGTAACACATACATACGTGCTTTTACACGTATATGCGCTCTTGTACATGTACGCGCTTTACTAGTCAAATATTTCACTTGAATTAACTACTCTACTCCTACACTAGTAAGGGCACATTTAAAAAAGGAAAAATGAGCAACAATATTAAATACACACAGAATAATGTTGATAAACAAGGTGGGGTTAATATAGTGAAACAAACAAAACTGCGTTGGTAGATTTGATTATTTGAAAATGTAACTTGGCGGAAAGGGCCTTTTCAATTTCTCTATATGTAAGCGCGTTTCCTTACACATGAGCGTCGGCTCGGGCTTACTTGCGTATTGTACCTAGTAGCACTACATATATATTGCATAAATGGGGCGTGGGCTGGGTACACGTAAGAACGCCAGCAAATAATGTAAAACGGGTGAATAAAAAAATTAAATGTAAAATTAAGTGTAATTTTAATGTAAAACTTGGCGTAAATTTTTGTGCACACTTTAGTGTAAAAATAAATAAGAACATAAAAAACCAGGGATGGCACGCAGTTGCCCTTCAAATTTACGCGAACGCGTGAAATGTCCTGTGTCACTCATGAATATATGTAAAGCTTTTTTTTTTTTTTTTGAAGCGAGAAAAGAACAATTAAAAAGACTTTACTGTTCCTTATTTCGCTTGCACTACCGTTCGCATTTCTTTCCTTTCTTCGCTTTTCTGCGTACACCAATCAGAAAAACGATACCTTTTCGTGTTGGTAAAGCAGAAAATTGGAAATAACAGAAAGACAAATAATTGGGGGGTTTAAAAAAAAAAAATTCACATAGGTATACGCGTTAAACGCGTGCGGATGTAATTAAACAATGGGTTAGGTTTAAATATGGTGAAAAACGAAAAAAACTGCAAAATATGTAAATAAATATATATATGTACATATACATACACATATATACCTACAAACATTTATGCGCACTTAGGCCCCTACACATTTACAGGTAAGTGGGTAGGGCTTACAAATACGCATGTTAATTATAATAGTTCAAGAGCATGGATATATGGATGAATTAAAAAAAAAGCAAAATCCGTACATCACTCTATTTAAGCTAAAAAAAAATGTGTAAAATTTTTTATGATCCTTTTTTTTTTTTTTTTTTTTTTTTTTTTTTACATGCTACGTTGTTCTATATTTCCATATTAACAATTTTATAAAAACGAAAAAAACAAAATGTCATATTTTATATTTTCATTCTGAAATTTGTAACGTTCATATATGCATTCATGCACACAAGCGGGTGTATAGCACATGTGCCCTAGTCTCTGCTTTGAGCGTTTCATAAATATGCTCATATATGTATATGCGCTTGTGTGTATATTTCTTAATGGTGGGTAGAGTACATATTTGATATCATGCACCTAGGCACGTTTCCGAATTGACGCGCTGTCAACTGCTTGCAACAAATCTATTGACAACAACGTTGCGCCATAAAAAGTTGCACGGGGACACACATATACACAACGTATGCACAAGCGTACGCATACTTATATATATTACGCACAAACAAAAAAAAGGGAAAGAAACAAACGCGCCATACGTACATGCGTGTGCACATATGTACAAATACACACACGTATGGGCATGTACATGGATATACATACCTTGGCGCACACTACTGTATGAAAAAACTGCACAACAGAACAACTACGCGACTACATATATATGCACATTAGAACACAACTTGCGCGACTTCACGTTCACACAGTCATTTGCATACAAGAAAAAAAAATTGGGGGAATGAATGTAGGGACTTTGTTTCCCCTGGGGAATGTTTAATTCTAGGGGAAAGTCCTGCTACAAGTTTTAATTACATGTATGTTCATAAGAAATAAGTTTAGAGGTAACACGCTTACGAGCACTACACTCAGGAGCACAGCTTGTGTAACAAATGCGTTCACGTAAATTCTCCTATGTACTCTTACGTACATATAAGCTTACATTTTTAATCGTCAAATGAAAATAAATGCAGTTAACGTAACTGTACTCAAAAAATACACAGCACTGTTATATGCAAAAAAGTTCATGCTTATTGTAAACTTGAAATAAATAAGGGGGAGCTTCAAAAAAAAAGATGAAAAAAAAAAAAAAAAACACGTAAGCGTAATCGCATTTTGCACGATATGCCTGGTTAAACGCGCATATAATAATGTACAAGAACAATTGTACGCACTGCATATGCGTACACGCACGTGTGCTTATATGTACTTAACACGTATACACTTATTTTCGGGTACAGCGAGGAATTGGGTATCACTCCTTAAAGCAGTATACCCATTTTCACATTTAAAAATGGAGAAACTGCCAAAGGGTGAGAAGGAGCAAATAGCAGAATCGTGAAAATGCTTTCAACATTTTCCGAATCATCTAACTTAAATTTCTCGGAAGCAATGCTTCTGTGGCAATTTGTTGGTAAATTTACAGTTTGCCATTTGTGTTGCATATATTCTCATGAGTCGTGCAAATGTGACGCTCCTACGTCTGTTCTTCTGAACAAACACTTCACTTCGATTTCGATTGGTTAACAGAAAAAAAAAAAAATAATAAATAAGCTATACGAATGTTAAAAATGCCTTTCCAACCTGACACAGTACACCTATGTTATGGTACTCATACATCTAGGTAACACTTTTTTTACAGAAAAAAAAAAGAAAAAAAAAAAGGATATGTTACTTTTGAAAAATTTATCTTTAAAAATGCGTACACATAATTTAGAAGCATGTTGGGAAAAATGCCAAATAGGATTTTCTAAATTTTGCTTCCTCACGCTAAACAAGAAAAATGCAACTATTTCTAAACAAAGCTATGTAGCCATTTTGTTCATAGATAAATTAAAAAAAAAAGAAAAAAAAAGTGATATTATAAAATGAGTGTACTTGTATAAGCCAAAATGGGAATGCACATGTAATTTTCCCTTTTGTTCGTGACATCTTCCTACGAATGGTACCCATTAATTGCTTCTCCGATGAATATAAAATTATGTCCTTTGAAAGAATATTTGGCATGGTTTATTAAAAAAAAAACGAACCATTTAAGGAATATGTTATATGTTTGTTTTTTTTTTCTGCTCCTCCGATGCTGCACACGTAAGTGCGTCCCTCTACAACCCTTATTACACACTACTGGTTTGGGTTGTGTTCGTTGAACTTGACCTGCCTGCGTATTTTTAGCGCAGGGTGGCAAAACAGGTTTAATAATTTTTTGGAATGATACACAGAATAGTCAAAGGAAAAACGACGCGCGACGATTCAAGAAGGGTCAGCACTTGGCACATGTGTGCACATGAATTCATGTAGGTATTACATAACAAATACGGGCGTGTATATTTCTGTATGGTATGCCCTGCTATGTTACACTGCAGCTACAGGAGCGACTCCACAAGCCTAGCTCAATCGTGACAATAACGAGCGAATAGGCACAAAAGAAACTCACATAAAAAGCAAACATAAAATAAAAATAATTCAACTCCTCCTGGGGAAGCTAAAATTTCAATTCAAATTCTGCACTATACGCATGGGGTAAAAAAGACAAACAATTTTTTCAATTGATACAAAAAAAAAAAAAAAAGGTACTCATAGCCAGTGTACCATTTGCATATGCAAGCTTCTGCTCCTGTGAATGGCACACGGCGTCCCGTTTTGGCACAAAAACAAGAAAAAAAAAAAAAAAAAAAATACTACGTAAGAAACAAAGCGTGGGTGCATTAACTTGAACGACCACGAAATCGCTGCTATGCCCCCAAACCCATGTACAACAATTTCTCATCGGGCATGACGACCACCCCCTCGGGCACAGCAGAATTGGACAAATTATCCAAATGCTCCACGTGCAGCTTTTTAATATAGTACTGCACCACTTTCTCCTCACTGGATGGAGGCGGATTCTTTTTCAATTCCTCCTCTAAAAGGGGCATGAGCTCCGTTTTCAATAGCTGCATTAATTTCTCAAAATTGGTGGTAAAGGTTATTTTGGAGTAATGAGAACAAACGTCCAGGGCAGAATAAATTAGGCAAAAGTATATGTACTTCTTTCTCCTATACGCACTGTTGAACAACTCAGAAATATAACTCCACACCTCTCTTGTGTCGTTTAAAATTATAAAAATGGAAAGGTGTAATTTTGTATAGGCTTCGAAGCGTGAAAAATTGGAGCATATATTTTCATCATTCTCCTTAAGTATTATATTGTACAAATCAGATTTGTCCATTTTTTTCAGCTCTGGGGATTCTTCTAAAAATATAGGAATGGTGAATATACACTTGTACGAAATTATTCCTTTGTACATAAAGTAGGCCTTTTTATAATTCGAAATTATAAGTGATAGAAATCCTGCCATACCCCAAATGGAAGGCTTCGACTGATGAAGCTTTTCGTCATTTAAATGTCCCAAAATGCCATCTATTATGCAAAATAAGCAATAATCTGCTAAATATACATTATTTAATTTTAAAATATCATTATACAGATTCCTTAAAATTATAAAACACTTTAAAATTTGCTCCGTTATGTTACTAATTATGTTGTTCACACTCAGGATGGACCTTTTTATACTTCTCACAACCAGGACTATATTTTCTTCTTTCAATGATTCAATGTGCTTTTTATAAGTCAGTATGTAGATGAGTGCACATTCTCTTGCCAAAATACATTTGTCTGAGTGATAATTTAAATTGTCAAATTTAAGTGCTCGAAAGCGTTTAAGCAATTCACTTACATTGTGCACATCATCAGCTTTTATGACACTGTCCTTTAATTTCTTTTTTATTTCTTCATCAATGTTTACGTTATCTTCTTTCCATTCGAAGTATTCCATTGTTTGAAGTTTTTTCTGTCTTTCGTTTTTTTTTTTTTTTTTTTTTTT